AGTGACAAATTTAGTTCGGATGATATTATTGGACAATATTGTGCACCTCTAACCACAATTCAAAAAGGTATTCTCAATACCGAAGAAGTTAATGAGTCACAGTTTTTTTACTGTAGTTGTTGTATTCATTTAGGCTTCCGTCATGTTCGTTTACGTGAGAAAGATGACGATATCTCGTGCTCAACACTATTTATTCATGTTGATATTGAGCTGGAAAATAACGAAATTATTTATCGTACGCGGCTTTAATGTGGTACTCATTCAACGTTTTCTTCTCTTATTCTAACCTATATTATTGTGTAATATTATTATCTTTTTTAAAATTTTAGACTTTTAGAAATGGTGTCTTTTCTACATTTTATCTACAATATAAATGAATCATAGAGAGAAGTTTCGCGAAACAAATAGAACAAATAGCATCCCTTAAGATTGTCAGACCCTAACCATCCAATAAGTTAAATAAGAGATAAATTCGAACCGTTCCCTCGGTAGATGGCACAGTGTGCATTTTTTGCATAGCAGGCGGTCATGTAACTTTCGTGCTCAAAGGTGGCTGTATATCACTTCAAAAACCACCTTTAAGAAAAAACAGCATTTTTTGTAGAAAAAACAGCATTTTTTGTAGAAATATCTTTTTCGACGAGAAACACCTGAGGGGATCCTCACCTACATTTTTTCGAGAAAATGTTTTTGTTAGAAAATATATTGTGTCCTGCATCATCCGATGCAGTTTCACACGGTGATTCCGAATATGCCATGAGTTTTTAATGGAAATGCTTTGGTGTCTGAAAATGAGGAATCGAGCGTGAAAATCAAGGTTTTTAGGACGTTTTTGGAAAACCTACCATTCGGTCCGGAAGCGTCGGCGCTAATTGGCGCTAACTGTGTTGACATGTCATATATAAGACAGCATTCCCCGAAAATTTCATCAAAATTGGAGCTTCGCTAGAGTTCGCGCACGCATTGCGTCAAACACACGTCCTGGGAAAATGCGCTAGAAAAATGTTTTATTTTTTTTTCCAACTCAGAAAGCTCAAAAATAGAAAAGCTTTTACCAATCGATAGCGCACTTGATGCTGATTCCGAATATATGTTTGTTTGCCCAATAGCTATGTTTAATTTTTTAAAAATTTTGCGAATAATCCGATTTTCCGGTGGACACGGGTTTTTAGTGTGTTTTTGTGTATACGAGCTCCCAGCTTAAATAAGTTCTAGAACATTAAATTTTTGCCATTAAATAGAGTATGTTTCAAAGTATATTAAAATTACTGAAAAATCAACTTTTATTTTTTTCATCAAAAGCCGGTCTGGATGCACACTGTGGATGGGTCGTTATGTGAATCGTTCTCTTTGTTAAAAGAATCGAACCGGATGAAGAAGGAAGTGCATCAATGGTGAATTCCAGTTTTGATGGAATAGTTCTAATTAAGAACATGGCAATCTTAGGTTTTCATAGGCTTTAGTCAGAAGTTAAAAGAACGATTTCTAGCAGTGAAGACTGTAAAATCATAACATTAATTTTTCGGAATGGCTATTGCCACCACTTACAAAAGTGTCAATAAGATGCTATTGCCACTTCCGAACGTGGCCTCAAGCAGTCATTGTCACTTACAAGAAGTGTCGATAAAAGCAATAAGAAAAAAGGACTAAATTACTGGTCACTGAAGTAAAGATATTCTAATTTTTTTATGATTATAGTTGCTGGTTGGCGAAGATCTTATTATATGGATAATTCTTCTTTGATGTTTCAGGACGACCTCATATCCAACATTTAGCAGATGTTTGTAGCATTCAATGAGTTCTACAAATCGTTTTTAGCTCAGGACTAGCAAAGCCAAAGGCATCAGTTACAAAGCAGGTCGAACCTGACCTACTTCACATAACGCAGCGCTTCCATATATCTATGAACAGAAAATTGGAGATCTTTACCAGGCTTTTCATAAAGTAATTGAGATAAGATTTAGTTCATTTCCTTCTTTCAAGAGCCTTCTCACGATTTTTATATCTTTATTGTTTCAGTAATAAGGCCAGCGGTGAACCATTTTAGGCCATGCATAAGATAGGCTACTTTTAAGGGCCCCCCTCTCTCAGAAATGATGATTTTCGGTCAAAAAATCGGTTTGAGATACGCACATGGAAAGATAGCCTGAAGTGTCTACTTCCAGAATCTGTATTGCTTTTGGTTACAAAAGTGGGTTTTCAGAGATTCTAAG